CTCTTCGCTGCAGCCATGTCCTCTGGTCGGTGTCTCCCAGGAGCAACATAGCGTGCCAAGATGCTAGGAGGGTATGCCAGGTCAGGTCGAGTGCAGGTCATCAGGTACATGAGGCAGCCAACAAGCTCTGGGTACGGGCCACTCGGCTCTACGGACTCATCCGAAGGCAGAGCTGAGAGTGAGTGACGAGTAGACAGAGGAGTGGCCTGAGGCGAGGAGTACGTGAAGTCGAAGCGCTGAAGGACCTGCTGCACCATGTGTGACTAAGTCAAGGTAATGGTGCACCGTGCTCTGTCCCGGGTGATCTGCAAGCCAAGATAGTGCAGTTTACCCAGGTCTGTGCACGTGTGTCTCTTCTGCAGCTCCCACTTCACGTGGGCCAGTCCAGCAATGTCAGCAGTAGCAAAAACCAAGTCGTCTACATACACGAGGATGTAGAACGGCGACAGAGAGGTGTCGGTGCGTAGAAACAGCGATGGGTCAGTAGTAGAAGGAGCAAACCCAAGGGACACAAGCGTAGTCCTCAATGTGTCGTGCCACTCACGGGGCGCCTGACGGAGACCGTAGAATGACCGCCGGAGGCTCCACAGGGTACCAGGAGGAAACGACCCAGTGAAGCCAGGTGGGCGGCGCGCCAGATCTCCCCGTGCAGGTTGCCCTGTAGGAAAGCAGTGCTGAAGTCAAGAGAGTGAAGCTCGTAGTCACGCTGAGCATCTACGTGCAGTAGAACCTGAAGAGTGGTCATCTTCGGGGTGGGGGAGAAGGTCTGAAAGTAGTCTACTCCCTGCCGCTGACTGAAGCCTCGAGCCATGTAACGCGCCTTGAAGACAGGCGGAGAACCCGGCGGCCGCTTCACACTGAAAATCCACATGCCACTGACGATGTTCGCCCCAGGTGGGAGAACCTCGTCGACGTAGGTGCCTGTGGACTTCCAGGATGCCATCTCTGCGTCCATGGCTGACTGCCACTGCGAGGAGTAGGGACCCTTTATCGCCTGCGTAAGAGCGCGGGGTCGGGATGTCTGGTGCATCCGGGTCTCCCTCAGGGGCAAGCAGCATGGACACGAGACGGGGTAATGCAGCAGAAAAACACTGGAACTCCTCCTGCCTGTCCTCAAGGACGTCCGTGCCAAGAGCACACTCACCCCCGGCGGACGGAGGACAGACACACCCAGACTCAGCAACAAGACTAGCGGCTTAGTCTAGACGACAGTGAGCAGCGAAGTCAATAAGCTCAGCAACTAAGGCAGACGCAGCAGTGGACTCAAAGGAAGGGTCAGTGACAACAGTGGCCAGGAGACGCGTGACAGTAGGACTGGCAGCACAAAGGGAATCAGACTCCAGGAGCACCACTAGCTCCACCAGCACCACCAGCTGCAGTACCCCCAGCAGCTCCAGCTCGAGCAGGACCACCGGAAGACGCAACAGCTCCAGCTCCAGTACCTCCAGCAGCACCTACTCCAGCAGCACCGCCACCTCCAGCACCTCCAGCAGCTCCAGTACAAGTAGCACGGCCCGGCAGCTCCTGTACCTCCAGTACGAGCACCTCCGGGACCCGTTGGTCTAGAACTCCCAGTAGCCCCAACAACAGCAGGACCTCTAGCAGCAGCAGAACTTCCAGCGCCGGCAGCACCACCAGCTCCAGCAGCACGGCTCCAACGCTGAGCAAACCACTCGCGCAGCTGCCGGGAGAGAGTACCTTCCGTCGGGAGGAAGCACCCGAAGGACCTCCAGGCCCAGCACCGCCAGACTCCACACGACCAGGCCCAGCACCCTCAGGCTCCGCACCCCCAGACTCAGCAACCCCAGGCTCAGCACCCCTAGACCCAGCACCCCTTGGCTCAACACCCCCAGACCCAGCACCCCCAGGCTCCGCACGCACAGGCTCAGCACCCTCAGGCTCAGCACCCGCAGGCTCAGCACCCCCAGCAGCACCACAGTCAACAGCTACCTCGACAGGCTTGACTGCGTCTACCTGGGACACACCTGAGGGGGCAGGACCCTGAGGGGGGAGGGGGTCTACCGGGGGGGGGGCCTGGCGCGAGGAAGAGCGGCGGGGGGGGGGAGGGGAGCAGCGCGGTAGGGGAGGAGAGGGTAGTAAGGAACCTACTCGTCAAACGTGACGTCCTGAGAGGACAGAACACGTCACGAGGTGGGGTGGTAAAACTGCCAACCAGGCGCGTCACGGGGGAAGCCAAGGAAGACGCAGGGAACAGCACGGGAGGACAGCTTGTCCGCAGACAAGTCGCGGACAAAAGCTCGAGATCCCCATACACGAAACGCAGACGCATCTCAAACCTTCCCCGTCCACCGCAGAGTAGGGGAGGTCTCCGACATGGAGACTCTGGGCTGAAGGTTGATCTGATGCGCCGCGTACTGACCCCGCGAACGGCCGCAGAGAATGGGGAGCAGCCGCATGGATCATGGATGTACGAGCGACGTCCATGACCATGCCAATGCGGCGCTCAGCAATCCCATTTTGCTGTGGAGAGGCCGGAAGCGTGAACGTCTGGCGGATGCCCTCCGCACGACAGAAGGCTCGCAGAAGGTTGGGAGAAAACTCTCCACCTCTATCGGAGTGCAGATGCAAAACAGGAAAGTCCGAGCCGAAACTCTCTCTGAGCTGGAGACGGGCAGCGTGGATCCAGTCGATCAACACCTCAGTGACCTCACCCCTGCGGCGCAAAGGGAAGACTAAGGTGTAACGCGAGTAGTCGTCAACCACCAGGAGGAAGTAACGCTCGTGACCCTGTCCACGGATGCGGGCTGGGCCCCACACGTCCATGTGGGGAGTCTGCGGAGCCTCTGTCGGAGGAAACTCGGAGGAGTGAGGAGCAGCGCGCTGCCGGCCCCCGACGCAGGGAACACAGGTAGGGGCAAGCCCTAAAGGAAGGGGAGGGAGTGACCGGGGGAGACCAGAGACAAGGACACGGGAGGCCATGCCTCGGAGACGAGGCAGGGAGGGGTGACCAAGGCGGTGGTGCTAGAGGAGAGTCTCGTGAGACAGGAGGCGACACGAGCAGGGGGCAGACTCAGGACCAGACCGGGACGCTGCAGCAAACACCTGACCCGACGCAGCTACCTGAACAGACGCAGCAACCGGAGGAGACACGGTAGTCAGGGTGTACAGGCTCGACCCCGGCTGACGGGTGAACGTGGCCAAGTGTCGGCCCGTCCGAGCACACGTGCACTGGGTCACTCGCTGACTCGCAGGAGTGAACTCGTCAACCCCCTCATTGTGTAGGTCAGCACCACTCACCAAGAACGAGGGGAGGTAAAGACCTGACACGGAGCCAGACGGGGCCGCCGGACACGGTAGGACAGTGGAGTAGTGGGCAAGGACAGGACCACCAGAGGGGTCTGCCAGGGAGACTGCAACCGGCCGACTAAGCGGCGTGAGTGTGGTGCGGTCTCGAAAGGAGCGGGAATCACCCGAGTCAAGGGTGAAGGTGTGCAAAACCTGAGCCGACGCGGTACCTGAGGGAGCAGACTCACCAGCACCTCGAGCAGCAGACTCACTAGCACCTGGAGCAGCAGACTCACTAGCACCTAGAGCAGCAGCCTCAATGCCCGGGTCAGGCGGAACACACAGGTAACAGTCACTCTTAGCACTAATAGACACAACATACATGGCAGCATGAATAGCATCATAATCAAGATCAAAGATAGCTACACCCGACTTGAGCAGATCACCCTAGCAAGGGATCTCAGTGGCGTCACGGAACTGGGTACGCCACGCGTCTGTGAGGCGGCCGAAGCAGTGCTGGGTGGCGTGCGGCCCGCCGCACGGCTCCCCAGTGCAGTCGCCGGTACGTAGGACGTAGGCACAGGGACCGGCACCCCCAGACCGCTGACGCCCAGCGTACCACTCACGAAGCTGCTGGAGCGACGGAGTCTCACGAGAGCGCACCTGCTGCTGGCGCTGGCCACCACCGAAGCCTCCCCCTTGCATAGCACCACCCCGACCAGCTCCACCGCCGCCACCCCCGCCGCCGCCGCCACTCCCACTGTTGGATGCACGTCATTCTGAGTTCATGTCATCCTAACGTCCTGCCGAGTGCTCGTGATATTAATGCGTGCATTGTTTGCATGAGCATATGTCATTGTGCATGGCTGTTGGATATTATCATCTCTGTGTTTTTCTTCAAGTCTAAATGCTTGATCATGCAAGAGAAATCCAGAGCTTTCCAACACCTAGGCAAAATCCAACTAGATTGGATTTTGCATGTGACACCTCAAGAACCTCATGATGAGGGTTGCATCCTTTCTGCTAGGAAGGTTCCTACCATCTTTCCCTAGCTCTTGGAGAGCTCCTTCCCTCTCATGGTTCTCTTGGAGTCCCCAACTCCAACATTCTATCCTTTAATGCTTGTACTTCCTCCACCATTCTAGTCATGTGATTGCTGGACGTTTTTACTTGGTTCTCACTCTCTAGACCATCTTAACAAATGATTGAACTTGGAAATGGTAGCTAAGCCTAAGGCGCACAATCCTACCGAGCGGATTTGCGTTTAGTTGAGTACTGAGTTCGTCGTAAGTTCTCAAAGTGACGGATCCTGAACAACAAGTGGTATCTGAGTGGGTAGCCGACTTTGAGACGACGAATCGTAGTCAATTCTCGACCAATGTTGACGAGTGAGACCATTTTCTAGTTGCTATGCTCGCGAACTTTCGATTGGTGGCCGAACCGCGTTCCAATTCAAAGTATTGAGTCCGCGACGGCGTGTTTCGTAAAGTCGAAATTTCTGGCAGAATTTTCTCCAAACGATTTCTCAAGTTTCCACCGTTCATAAGGCCTCAATATGGTTGGTACGAACTCCGGAGGTGCGACTGGCAAGATGGATAGAAGTAGAGAGGCTGGAGAGCAGGGGGGAGTTGTTGGTGGAGGAGTGGGGACTCACCAACCAGCCAACCCTACACTGCCCTCAACTTCTACACCATCTCCTACAGCCGTGGACTGAGAAATTCATGGGGGAGGACTACGAGCACTTGAGCTTCCGCATGAGGCTGATGTACACCCAATACAAGCTATTGGATCTGGTGGAGGGGAAGGAGAAGATGCCGGAGGCCGCGGAGCTGAAAGGATCGTGGATGAAGCGATCGTTCGACGTGTACATGCTCATGGTGCAAGCGGTTGGCGAGCGACAACTTGACCACATCAAGGACCTCTTGGGTGATCCAGAGTGTGGCCCCAATGCTTGGAGAAAGCTTTTGGATGTGCCACCGACACATGCTACCGGCATCGTGATACTGGCGCGGCGGCTGCGCGACATCAAGTTCGTTGATGGAGATCATGATACGGCTGCCGGAGTCGTGGTCTGCCCTTGCGATCAACCTCAATTGTCAACAGCCCCAGTAAAACGTGGATTACATCCGCGCGCGCATCTTAGAGGAGGATTTGCGGCGGCAGAATATGGAGCGCTCGGAGGAGGGGGCTGGCTATGGAGTTGGAGGTGGAAAGAGTGGCTTCAAGAAGAAGTGGAAGGGCAAAAATAAGGACAACCCTAAGGAGGATGGCGGCGGGGGTCAAGGGGAGGTGTGCTTCTACTAGAAGAAGCGCGGACATCGTTGGCGGAAGTGCTACCAACAACCCAATGATTGGACCCCGCCTTCATCAAGCAACCAGCGTGGTGGCACGAGGAGTGGGGGATTCATGGGAGCTAGTGGAGAGGAGAAGGATGAGAAGAAAGGCGGCAAGTCTGAGGAGCGGAAGGCCGGGTTCTTCTTCTTCGTGAACGAAGGCGCTACGACCTCGCAATGGGTGCCAGGGTTCTCCTGCACCCCCTCACCCATTGGGTGATTGACTCCGGGAGCTCTTGGCACATGACTCCTCGTGCGGACCTACTCAATGAGATTCAGCCCGCACCTATCTCTACAGTCACATCCGTGACGGGCGCCAAGGCCAAGGTCATGGGCATGGGATGCGCCAAGTTCATGGGAGCGGATGGAGAGCTCGTGGGGCTGAAGAACGTGCTGTGGGTGCCGGACTTGTGCGCGAACCTGATTTCTACCGGCCGGTTGGGAGATGCGGGTGTGAACACCGAGACGATTGGCTCGGAGCGCTATCATGCCCACAACAATGAGCGCCTCGTTTGGGACCTGCAGTGGAAGGGAGATGTCCACAAACGCATGTGGCAGATCACGATCCTCCCTTGGCAGAAATCGGGCAAGGCGGCAGCGGCGGCATCTATGGAGGAGAGTGTCACCGAGGAGGAGCAGCAAGGTGTGCAAGGAGAGGAGCTGATTGGAGGAAGCGCGGCGGTGAAGGCGTCGGCTACCTCGGGCCAAGCGGATTGGGAGACTTGGCATTGGCGACTCGCACACGTGGCTGTTTCTACACTGGAGGTGATGCACAAGGAGAAGTGCGTGCATGGGCTGCAACTGCAAGGAGATGGCGCTCACTATGGCAGTTGCAAGGCGTGCATGCAAAACAAGTTTGCGCAGTTCCCGTTTCCACGTGCGGAGGGATCAGCAAAGGCGCCACTGGAGGTGGTGCACATGGACCTGGTGGGCCCTTTGAGGACTGAGGGGACTGGGGGAGTGCTGTACTTTCTCACCACGGTGGACGAATGGAGCAGATTCACATGGGCTCGTCCCTTGTCCAAGAAGAGCGATGCTGCAGCGGCGATCAAGGAGGATTGGTTGCCGATGGTGGAGCGGCAAGCGATGCGGTTGGTGAAGGCGCTGAGGAGTGACCGTGGTGGAGAGTTCCTTGGAGCGGAATTCACCAAGTTTCTCAAGGGAATGGCATTCGACACCAGCTGACCTGCCCAGGAACACCGCAGCAGAACGGCATTGCTGAGCGTGCCAACCGTGTTCGCCATGTCATCATGGTCAAGAACAGGGTGTTGACACATGTTGGCGACAAGCGCTGGGTGTCGTACGAGCGTTGGCTTGGGAAGAAGCCATCTATTGACATGCTGCGGGTGTGGGGCTGCATGGGGCTTGTGATGGTGCATAAGAAGCAGAGGCACAAGCTCGAAGTTGCTGCTGTGTGGGCTGTCCATCTGGGGATGGCTCTTGACTCGAAGTGGTGGCTGATTGGGACCCCAAGAGCAAGAGGACGCTGGTCAGTCGTGACGTCATATTTGTGGAGGACGTCATGTACAAGGATTTGCAGCAGCAGCAGCAGGTGCAGATTGGCTTGCATCTGCAGGAAATTGAGCGGACTGCAGTGGAGGAGGTTCAGCTGCACCTTGAGGATCTCCCTGGATCAGAGCTGACCAGTGGCCACAGTGGCGGTGGAGAGCAACAAGTTTCTGGTCCTGCTGTAGAGGAGGGGTTGGAGGATGAGTCGGCACGTGTGGACTCACCATCTCAGCCCGAGCCTACTGCAACCGCCAAGGTCACCAAGAGGAGTGTGCAGAGAGGAGCTTCACCACATGGGCAGCAGATTGCAACCCGCGAGAAGAGAGTGGCAGCAGCACCCTCAAGGCTGAAGTATAGCCGTTTGGGAGGACCCAAGCAAGGTGCCATGGCGGTTCATGCGGATGAGGGAGAGGATGAAGAGATGGCGTTCTGTTGCTTCACACCTCTGCCTGAAGAACCAGCCACATTGGAGGAGGCACTGAGTGGACCCCAGAAGAAGGAGTGGAAGGCTGCCATGGATGCGGAGTTCAACAGTCTCATTGAGAATGGGACTTGGGAGCTTGTTGAGTTACCCAAGGGGCGACGGCCGATCAGAAGCAAGTGGGTCTTCAAGGTGAAGAGTGGTGCTGATGGTGCGTTGGAGCGGTTCAAGAGCCGCTTGGTCGCCAAGGGGTTTCAGCAGGAGGAGAAGGTCGACTTCTAGGAGATCTTCGCTCCCGTTGCTAAGCCAGTGACATTAAGGACTTTGATGGCTGGCGGAGCTGTGAAGGGATGGCACGTGAAGCAGATGGATATCACCACTGCGTTCCTCAATGGAATACTGCTGGAGGATATCTACATGGCGCAGCCCGACGGCTATGAGGATGGGACCAGCCGAGTGTGCAAGCTCAAGAAGGCCATCTATGGCCTTAAGCAAGCGCCCAGATGTTGGTACGAGAAGCTGGAGGAGGTGCTGCTGGGTGGAGGCTTCAAGACGTCCCAGGCGGATCACAGCTTGTTTCTGCTTGGAGAGGGGGAGCAGTTGCTCTTGCTGCTGGTGTATGTCGACAACATACTGCTGTTCTCACCTTCCATTGAGCAGATTGAGAGGACACAGAAGCTGCTGATGGACAACTTCAAGTGCAAGATGCTGAGGGATGTCCACTACTACTTGGGGCTGCAGATTGAGAGGGATGTTGAGAGGAGGTGGCTGAAGGTGCATCAGTCACACTACATCTCTGGTGTCATGGAGCGCTATGGTGTGACTGGAGGTCACACTGTGATGACACCGTTCCCTGCGGGCTTCAAACTTAAGAAGGCAGCTGAGGAGGATGATGTACTCGAGGATGAGCAGCACAATGAGTACCAGTCACTCATTGGGAGTGTGATGTATGCTGCTGTGCATACGCGACCTGATGCTTCATTCGGAGTGGGGCAGTTAGCCAGAGTTGTGCAGCGGCCCACTGAGGAGCAGATGGAAGTGGCAAAGCGCTTGGTGCGTTACCTCGGATCAACGGCATCTACTGGTGTTCAGTTTTCAGCTGGCGGCCAGCTGAAACAGATTGGAGCAGATGGGGTCACGCCTGGAACCTTGAAGCTGTCGTGCTTCACCGATTCCACATGGGCCTCAGAGGATGAGGATCAATCATTGGTTGGCGGCTTTCTGTGCATGGTCGGAGGTGGACCAGTGAGCTGGAGGTCCAAGAAGCAGAGTGAGATTGCTCTGTCTTCTGGAGAGGCAGAGTACATGGCGATGTACCATGCCATCAAGGAGATTGTGCTCCTGAAGAAGCTGCTGGAGGACATGGGAGCTGAACAGCAGGGACCTACACCACTTTTCTCCGACAGCGAGGCTGCTATTGGCATGGCCAATAATCCTACCTTGAATGGGCTGAACAAGCACATGAAGATCAAGTGGCACTGGGTGAGGCAGATGGTGAAGGAGGGAGCTGTTGAGCTTCACCATGTGAAGGCTACAAAGCAGGCGGCAGATTTTCTCACCAAGAGCGCACATTGGAAGTGTGCTAAAATGTGTGGCATGGCATTGCACTAGTGTGGGCAGCAGTGTCATGAATGCATGTGTGATTGTGTGCATGAGAGTTTGCATGTGTGTGAGTGTGTGTGCATGTAGTCCGTTAGTCTGAGGGGGAGTTTGTTGGATGCACGTCATTCTGAGTGCATGTCATCCTAACGTCCTGCCGAGTGCTCGTGCTATTTGTGCTTGCATAATTTGCATGAGCGTATGCCATTCTGCATGGCTGTTGGATATTATCATCTCTGTGTTTTTCTCCAAGTTTAAATGCTTGATCATGCAGGAGAAATCCAGAGCTTTCCAACGATACCAAGATTGCCTTATTCCGACCAAGATCGCCCAAGTTACAAGTTTTCCAAGACTTGGATTTCTTATTACTTTTTGGGGTTATATTTAATTTGGGTGATTACTTGGGACATGACTTTAAAGGGACCTTTGGTTGGGTGGTTAGGGAAGGCAACCTTGACTTTTGGATTGGGGTGGCTAGAAGTTTCTAGCATAGGTTGCAAATGTTGTAACACCTAGGCAAAATCCAACTAGATTGGATTTTGCATGTGACACCTCAAGGACCTCATGATGAGGGTTGCATCTTTGCTGCTAGGAAGGTTCCCACCATCCTTCCCTAGCTCTTGGAGAACCCCTTCCCTCTCATGGTTCTCTTGGAGTCCCCAACTCCAACTTTCTATCCTCTAATGCTTGTACTTCCTCCACCATTCTAGTCATGCGGTTGGTGGACGTTACTACTTGGTTCTCACTCTCTAGACCATCTTAACGTCTGATTCAACTTGGAGATGGTAGCTAAGCCTAAGGCGCACAATCCTACCGAGCAGATTTGCGTTTAGTTGAGTATTGAGTTCGTCGTAAGTTCTCAAATTGACGGATCCTGAACAACACCCACCGCCACCGCAGGCGCCGCCTCCACCTCCACCTCCACCGCCGCCACCGAAGCCCCCACCCCGGCCACCACTCCCACCGCCACCCCCACCCCCTCCGCCGCCCCCACCGCTACCACCACCGCCCCTGCCGTCTCCTCCAGCGCCCTTGCCCCCCTTGCCCTTGCCGTTGCGGCGCCTCCAACTAGGAGCAGACGGAGCGCCGACCGACTCGGTGCCAACGAGGTCGATAGCAGCAGCAGAGGCAACAGAGGGCAAAAGGGGGACGGGGGAGCACTAGTGCGGAGGTGCAACTGAGATCAGCGACTGTGGCAAAGGCGGCGAGGTCTGGGAACAGGTACGGCAGCATGAGGCGACTAAGGGCAGCAGTGGCAGGGGAGGAGTAGTGGCAACTACAGCGTCGTACAGAGTCTTAGCACTCTTGTACTGACTAAAGTGCGCACGCTCAGTGGACGGTAGGTGACTACGCACAGCAAGGCGGGCAGTAGCATCGCGCGTGGTCCACTGCGAGCGAACAATACTGTCAGCATCAGCAGCAGGGGCAGCAGAGGCACCAGA